AAACACACACACACACACGCGCGCACACACACACACACTGCTTTTGCGGCTCATGGTTACTGCCGACCAAACGGCCTAAACCCAAAGCCCTAAGCCCTAAACCCCTAAACCCCAAGCCCCTAAACCCCTAAGCCCCTAACCTAACCCCTGAACCCCGAAACCCCCTAAACTGGCCCTGAACCTAAAGGGTTTACCCTCAACCCGAAGTCCTTCCTCTAAGCCCCTGTCTGTGGGTTAAGGGGTTTGGGGGTTTGGGGGTTTAGGGGTTTAGGGGGGGTTTGGGGGTTTAGGGTGGTCCATCCCCTTTTTAGAGATCCTGAAGGGATCCTGTCTTCGTTATCCCTTAACGGATCTTCTTAGCGATCCTTTTAGGCATCCTTTAATACCCTAAACCCTAAACCCTAAACCCTAAACTCCATCTTCCGAGGCTCTTAAAGCCTAAACTTCAAAGCCCTAAACCCTAAACTTCAAGGGATCCCTTAGGGCTCCAGGCTTCCGTGACGGGGTCTCGTGGGCGCCTGCCGCGCCGCTAGCTTTCGCAGCGCGGCCAGGTCCCCGAACCTGGTCGGTCGCACAGAAGAGATGGAAACGAGGCCGGTTTAGGGCTGAGGCTTTAGGGCCTGGGGTTGAGGGTTTAGGGTTGAGGGTTTAGGGCTTTGGGTTGAGGGTCGAGGGCTTCGGGTTGAGGGTTCAGGGCTTCGGGTTGAGGGTTCAGGGCTTCGGGTTGAGGGTTCAGGGCTTGGGGTTTAGGATTTAGGGCTTGGGCTTTAGGGTTTAAGCTAGGCCCTCGGCGTTTCCCCATCTCTGAGCAGGACAATGAAGTTGCCATCCTGGCCAAGGCTGCAAAGGTCTTCTTTCAGCCTGCGCCGTTATCTTTCCACGTTCTGCGAGGGGGCGCGTGCCTTCCAAATTTCGACCTCCCCTTTGAGAATGAAATACACGAAATCGTGGCCGGGTTGAAACACCTCTCCATCCTGCAGCAAAGCTTAGGCGGCTTGGCTTCTGAACCTCTCTTGCCATCACGAAAAATGGGGGGGACGCCTTCAAGATGACTTCTCCATCTTCGAACTTCTTGTCCACCTCTGCACCCACAACTTAGGCGATAGGGAGCCCAAGGACTCTTTTGAGGAGACTGCCATGCGCTGGCTCAGCGCGTAGACAAGAGGGATCGGTGCATCCTGACGATGCAGTGCGGCAGGGAAGGGAACTCAAAGTCACAAAACCCTCAACCCTAAACCCTAAACCCTAAACCCTAGACCCTCAACCCTAGACCCTCAAGATGCCTGGAACATAGGATTCATGGCAAGCAGGCTCGCATCAACCTGGCGAGCAGCATCTACGAGTCCCAAGGTTGTGGCATTTCCTGGCGAGTTCCTGGGGCCCTAGCTGCGTGTACAGCAACAGCTACAGTGGCGCCAGCGATCATGATGCCAAGCCCTTTTGCAGATGAGAGCTCCACCCATGGGAAGTTTAAACAGAAATCTGAAACAGTACTACTGCGAGTATGACCGTGCCGATTAGCACTGCCAGGGACTCAACCCACTCAGAGTCGTCAGAGCCTCCCGATGACCTTGCAAGCTCTGGAAGAAAGCTCTGCACCGAACTATACGGGTTGCTACGAAAGGGCTTACTATTATAAGTTTAATGTTAAGGTTACTAGTATACGGTTTACGATTAGCGTTGTTAGTAAGGCTATGTCGGTGAGGCGGCACAATAGGGACTATGCCCTAAACCCTAAACCCCAAAACCCTAAAGCTGCCTCAAAGACAGTAAGGTCAGAGTCAGGGAAGAAAGCTCAGACCTCTCCGTCTCGACTTCGGTTTTGGCCGGCTGCATGAGCAAGTACTCCTCGGTCCATACATATCTTATGTCATCCCCGGAATAATACAAACTCCTGTGATCCGTACCCGTAAATAACGGTACTGTTATTTTGAGAATCCCATATATCGTAGATCTTCAGTGCTCTCTGGTCCGAAGCCATAGGCCTTCCCTAGATTGTCAAGCCGAGGTGCACGGCTCACATCGGTCTGGGGCAAGGATGACAACTCCAGGGAATACCTGCGAGACGTGGGCGAGGCCTCGGACACAAAAGGAACATTTCGACTACGCTCCATCATCTCTGCTTGGAAGACCAGGGGATCTAAGCTCTGCGCTGTACCCCAACCGATGATCTCCCTTTCGCTTTTCTCATCCAGCTTCAACTGTTCCAGCTCTGCTGCGCAAGCCTGTCGGAGTCGTCGAAATCGCACAAGGCATCACCGCACACTGGGGATCGGCATGTCGTGATGAGCACCTCGACTTCATCCTCACCTGCACAGCGACGTGCTCACGGTATGCGCTGCTGGAGTACCATGTCCCTAAACCCTTGATCATGTGCCAATGCTGTGCCCACCTGCATTTCCTCTGACGAGCTGCAAGCCTCTGAGCCGTCGAAGCTCGAGTTCTTTCTCCATCCGTCTGTCTCGGGCATCAGCGGCTCTGTTCGACTTCCAGATGATAAAGGCCTAACAAACAGCACCCGCGGGAGTTTTGCAGGAGGAGACTGCTTCTAAACGCGTGTTATCTGCCTCCGAGAAGCATAAGTGCCGAAAATGAGCACAGCTGCGATCAATGGCTGCCAGATTAGCAGCCGATCACGTACCTCTGCGCGGCTCCTCTACGACAGCCTCATCTTCTAACGCAGAGCGAAACCGTAAACCGCAAAACTCCACACCCCAACGCCATAAACCCTAATACTAAACCCCCTCAACCCTCAACCCTACACTCCAAACATATATATATATATGTATATATATATATACCCGACCACGAAGGGCACTGAAAAAGATGGAACTTCAGGAAGGGCTCGGAGCTGCACCTGGCGACGGCGGTGAGTAATTTTTCTACACAAGTCAGGGGTTAGGGTTCAGGGGTTATGGTTTCAGGGTTTAGGGTTCAGGGGGAGTTGTGAATGCTAAAGCCCGAAAGCCTAAACTCCAAGGCGCTGCACACATCTTCGCTCTTGTACATTCGTACGACGATCACTACCCATTCGGTACCCTCAACCCGAACCCAGAAACCTAAACCTTTGGGCTACTGGTGAAAAGCCCCCAAACCCCTTAAACCCCTAAAC